ATCTACTTGTGCCAGCGTTTGCTCCACCTTGGGAGGTGTAGAGGGAGTCGATGTTCAGCCCTGTGAGGTCAGACACTGCCCCCTCTCTGGGTCCTAGTCCCCCGAACCATTCCTCAGGCATCTTTCGCAAGCCCTGGATCCGGCCCCATTTCCCCCATTATCACACCTGAGATGGAGATTCTAAGAAGGTTCCAGGGAATCCCTGGGGAGGTGAGAGTTGTGTGTCCCTCTTATCTCCAGATGCACTTCGGCCTCATGTGACCTCAGGGCTCTTGGACTGACGACTCCTGACCTTAGCGTGCACCTGGGCCAGGCTGTGGCCACGACCTTGCCTTACCTCCCTGAGCTTCGTCTCCACTTACAATCTGGCCCTCTGCTTCCTGCAGAATGGAGGGTTGAGACCTCCATTACCAGCAGTACCTTGCGGCACAGGTGGAGGGCCACAAAAGGAAGGGTGGGCCCCACCCTCGGAGGGCATGGGAGTCCATATTCCAGTGTCTTCACTTTCCCATCATTGGTGACAACTGTTTGTCCTGTCCTGTGCTCTGCCTGGCACAGAAACAAACCTGAGGCAGCAACCCGGGCAAATACACACACATCTCCCACTGCTGGGCGAGAAAAAAGGAGGGGCAGGCAGCCTTAGTCATTCAATCATCTTGCACTGCCTTGTTTACTCCTCAGCATAGTCCTAGGACTTGGGTATTATTATCTGCAGGTTGGTGAGAAAACTCAGGCTCAGAAATTTTAGGAAACTTTGCAGGGTCACAAAGCAGTGAAGAGTCCAAATCATGTCTGTGAAACACTATGCTGATCACTGCTGCCTCTTTAGGGCAAGAAAGGACAGGATCTCCAGACATCCAGAGGGGGACTAGGAGAATAACGACACAGGCACAGGAATGTTTGTCTACACGGGTAGTAAACGGAATACAGACACGTTTCTGTTGGGAGATTTTCAAGGCTCCCCTGCTCAGCATGGGACTTGGGCTCAACAGGATCTGAGGAAATACTAAAAGGCCCCCTGGCAAGAAGCCATTCTTGGGAGAACGAAGAGGTCATTCAAGGGAACACAGACTTCCCTAGCTTAGGGATCTCAGACATTACCTAGTCCTCCCATCACCTACATCCTGAAACACACTTTGTGGATGCATGAGACCTAAAAGGATGCCCAGCACATCATAAATAGGAGATCTCTCTGGGGAGTTGGATTGCAGGTACTTGACTTCTAATAGATATTTAGCTTCTGATCTGTATATTTATATAAATCTGGATTGTTCGGATGTGTGTATGGGAGAGATGGAGTGAGGGAAGGAGCAGGCTTTATTTTTACAACTTAAAATCTCATGGTTTTGAAAAGAAATTTTGAAGGAAAGATGATGGTGCCTCCATCAGCAAGTCATGGAGGTCTTGCCATTGGCTACTTCTCAGACTTACCCAGATAAACAGAAACGCAAAATGTCATTTTTGCAGCGGCCTCCTGCCGCCCATCTTGTTCTGCCCGGCAGGTGAGCATAGCCCCTTGGTTAGTTCTGTTCACCAGGATCGAGCTGTGCACAGCGTATAGTCCATCTCTGCTCATGGTAGGGGTCAAGGTCTTATCTGTCTGGGAGACATGTCCATTCTTCAGCCAGGTCAGCTGTATGCCATGGGGATAGAACTTCTTTGCCTTGCAGGTGACATTTACCTTTTTCTTTGAGATGGGCTGTTCAAAAATAGTCATGTTGGGTGGAACTGAAATAGCATAGGACAAAGGCTCAGACCCCGTGAAACAATCAGATTCACCTTGCTTATTAGTCAGTGGCTGTTTACTTAGCACCTACTTAGCATGTGACAATTCCTTGCACATGGTAGGTGCTATTATTATTTAGACTTATTCACTGGAGTAAATTTGGGGAGAACTGTTTTCCAAAGCTAGGTCACAGCCTGGCCCCACGTGGTGTCACCTACCTAGTATAGTCTTAGACAAATCGGCATTCCCCTGAAGAGCATAATGTGAGCTTAGGTGATTCCCATCACAGCTGACATAGGAGTGGAAGTCCTGTAGAGTCAGGGCTCCCTCAGTGGTACTGGCGATTTTGTAGGAATTGCTGTCCCTCATCTGGACGATGTGTGTCTGGAGGGATGAAATTTCCTTCCCATTTCTGAACTGCTTCAGGGTGATGTTTTTGGGAAAGCCGCCATAGGACATACAGCTGTAATTCACAGGTCGCCCCATTGGGGCCCTTTCCAAGGGACCTATTACCACAGGCAGAGAGGGCGGGGCTACAAGAAGGAAGAATAATGTACAGTTAATGTTGCTAAGCCGGGCAGTATTGTATGTGCTTCATATAATCTTTTTTTTTTTAACTTTATTTTTTATTTTTTAAAATTTACATCCAAATTAGTTAGTATATAGTGAAGCAATGATTTCAGTAGATTCCTTAATGCCCCTTACCCATTTAGCCCATCCCCCCTCCCACAACCCCTCCAACAACCCTCTGTTTGTTCTCCACATTTATGAGTCTCTTCTGTTTTGTACCTCTCACTGTTTTTATATTATTTTTGTTTCCCTTCCCTTATGTTCATCTGATTTGTGTCTTAAAGTCCTCATATGAGTGAAGTCATATGGTTATTGTCTTTCTCTGACCGACTCATTTCACTTAGCATAATACCCTC